TATGATACTAATTTAGAAAGTTATTCTTTTTCATGCTAGCAGGCATGGTGAAGTAAGCACTGCTGCAGCTTCTGTAACCAGACTCAAAATCTGAAAAGAATATTTGCTTCCATGAAAGTCCCACTAAGCTACTCTCTCAGATGGTCCAGCAGGCATTTTGATAGTCTCCATCATCATTATGAGTGCCCTTATGGATCAGGCTACATGGAGGAAAATACTCTGTCTCTAAATCTGGCAAGAAATTTTGCTGTCTAACATCTTAAAGCAAGTTCTTTGCCCTTTCAGATAACAATGGGAAAAACAATTTTTATGGTCTATTAAAGAATTATAAAATGATGACATTTGTCTCCTATTTTATCCAGAAATAAATTATTTAACAGACATTTTCACTAAAAGTGCTTAAGGCTAAATTGAAATATATGCAACCAAAAAGATTACAATGGTAGCATAGTATTACCCCATTTGCTCCTGGGTACTACAAGGTACTTAAGGAATCTCTGTGCTTTATACACCCAGACAGAGAGATAAAACATAAATCTCCAGATCTCTATGGATACTTTGGGTGAAGCAGCACTAGATTATATATTTGAGTGTTATGTAGTGATTTAAAAAGCACATTACCTTTGACATAATAATATATAACCAATGGCCAAAGGGACTGGTACAACTAGAATTGTTTCAAGAATTCTTTTGAAGTGGAAGCCTTGATGCTACCCTCAATCCTTGAAAACTACTAAGATGCAAACTTCTTGGGAGAGAAGCCTTTGAGGAAATGCAGAGGTTAATGAATCTACTTACAATGACAGGAAGTGACACAATCAAGCTGTACCACAAGTAACACACAATAATAATTTGAAAGTCTATTACAGACGTAAAGAGCTTATAAATACGATTTGTAGGAAAGAGGATGTACCCCTAAACCCTCTTCTGTCAGATACTCACCAACAACGAAAGGAAGCTCTTTCAAAAATTCTTCTTTGGGAGGTACCTCTTTCAACAAGGGCACATTTTGCATAAACAATAGAAAAATATTTTTAATAAAATTGCAGGCTATGATGAAGATCCTATCAGACAAAGCTGCAGACACTAATATGAATACAGGGATTTCAAACATTATAAATAAGGACTAAGGAAAAATTAAGTAGTCCTTGAGACATAGTAAAACTGTTTTGAAAATGCATTTTCAATATGACTTGGCAATGGCTGAGCAGAACAGCAACTTTTAACCTATTTTCTTTTTTCAAGAAAAATAATCTGTTGGTAACTTTGAACTGATTCACCTATATCAACTAAACTTTCATTTGGTTTGATAAGTTTATATTGTCAGACTCTGTTCAAAATGTTAAAATCTGCATTCACCATAGACAATTTGGGAGATCAAGACACTGTGTGTCCAGTGCTGAATTTATGTTTCAGAATCCAACTAGAGAGATGCCATGGTTATCTTGGGAGCAGTCATTTACAGAAGCAGCTACAAAGAGTACACAGAGCTGGATGGAGTCTTTGAAAAACTATGACCTGGTTGTTAGAAGAACATCTGATGCATTCAGAGTTAATCACCTGGTCCACCAGACCAAATGCCTTTCTACTCCCCAGGAAAAAGGCATAGTGCAATGGAAAATAAAATGAAAGGTGAAAATCAATGACTAAGAAAAATTTCTGGGCTGTGAAACCATGCTGAGGAATGCGACTATTGAAGGCATGACATAGGAAACTATTCTTGTCACTAATTGTCTTTTTAGAACTTTAATGCAAAGATATTTTTGGAAATAAAAATAAAAAGTCAAAATAAATATGATATTCACCTTACTTAACTGTAGAAACAAAGCTGTGAAAGTAGGACACTGAAGTAAGGTCAGAATCAAAAGATGTTGTTGTGGGATTGATTTTTTTTAATGTTTCTTAGATATTTCTATGGATTGATGTAAATTAAAAGTTTCATCATTCCATTTCATTTAAGATGCATCAAAGTGCTGAAATTCATATATGTCCTTTGAGACCAGAATTTACATTTTCTCCACATTTCTAGGATTTCCTTCAGTGCAATGAGTTCTGATTTAAAAGGAAATCAGTATTGTATTCTCTTCTGAAAATTGTTTGGGCTTTTAATTATTTTGATTTTATTACCATTCGCATAAGTGATGATATTGCTGTTTTGCTGTTTTTTAAAATTAGAATGAAGAAAAATTATATATTTAGCCTAATTATTTTTTCTCAAATTTAAGATTGTGCAAAAAGTTTTTAAAACATGTCTGACTACCAAATATTCCATGTCAAAAAAAAAAAAAAGAAAAAAAAAAAGAAAAAAATGCATAGTTTTAAAATTTTTATTATCTTAATACTAAAATCTGAGATATGATATCTTGATTCATAGCTTTTTTAATTTATAGACTTGGTAATGTTTCACTAAGTGAACCCATTTCATCCCAGATCAATTGCTCCAAGCCTCAGCAATTGCTGTGCTTCAGCAATTATAAACTGCAATTTTGTCCCTAAGAAATTCTAAGAATTTAACATAGTAAATTGTCTGTATTTTTTAGAAGTGTTCTTATTAGTTTGAAGTTTAACTGAATTAGAAAACACAAAAGTAACCATATTCTGAAGTGTAGAAAATGGGCTTGCATTCAGTGCTTTATTACACAATATAGTATAATAAACAGGCTTAGAGTAAAGCCTCAAATCAAACCTCTGTTGAGAGGCCCCTCAACATACAGGTTAATTAAAATCTGAATTTAAATCTTACCATTTGGGACACATCTGTTTAGCTTAACATATGCCAAATTATAGGCTATAAAATTTCTTTGCAAAGACATCTTTTTAAATGCAAAGAAGCTTTCATAAATGCTGTCCATTCGCTAATGTTTTAACAGAAAAACAAAGTGATGCACTGGGTGAATTACACCCTCTTAGTTCTCCTCTTATTCTTCTTATCCTTTCTGGTTTTTAAATTTTCAGACTCTGTCCCTAGGTGAGGCTTATGCAATTACCCTGATTTTTTCTAATATGTGGCACTGCTGTAAAAACAGCTTTAGAAGTAATTTGTTTGATTTTCTTGCTCTTTTATCATTGCAATACCCAGCTATTCCCTAATCAGATGGTCTAGTGTAATTCCTTAGATGATTTTCTTGCAGCATCACTTAACCATTTTTGATTGCTTTACATAGAACACAAACATTTTTTGTGCTATCTGCCTGTCAAATTGCCAGTCACACCTCCTTTTTCTTTTTCTTTTTCTTTTTTTTCTTTTTCTTTTTCTTTTTCTTTTTCTTTTTCTTCTCCTTTTTTTTTTTTTTTTCTTTTTCTTTTTCTTTTTCTTTTTCTTTTTCCTTTGGTTTTTGTTTTTCCTTTTTCTTTTTCTTTTTCTTTTTTTTTTTTTTTTCTTTTTTGTTTGTTTTCTTTTTCTTTTTCTTTTTCTTTTTTCTTTTTCTTTTTCTTTTTCTTTTCTTTTTCTTTTTCTTTTTCTTTTTCTTTTTCTTTTTCTTTTTCTTTTTCTTTTTCTTTTTCTTTTTCTTTTTCTTTTTCTTTTCTTTTTCTTTTTCTTTTTCTTTTTCCTTTTCTTTTTCCTTTTCTTTTTTTCTTTTTTTTTTTCCTGTTTTTTGCTTGTTTTAAGGAAGTAATAAAATAAGAGGTATCACAAACATCCAGATTGCTTTAAAGCATGTGAAAATTGATGGCGAGGTAGACTACAAAGACTCTGTGAATGTCCATTCTCAGGGAAAGGACTCAACCAGCTGGTCAGTCCATGGCCATGCACTGCTTATCACTAAGTCACTTCATCACTACTTTCTCTCAGTCACTGATGAAAGCTTTTGCCTATTAACCAGCTAGACTCATATTTAATGATGGTAAATACCATAGAAAGAGTTAGAAGAGCTGATTAGGCACAACAGAGATATTACACTAGTGGTGGCACTGAAATAAATGCGGGGACAAAGTGGAAGTGGACATGAAAAAAGGGATAGAAGAGTGGAGAAGAATATGGGACATAGTAACTAAATCCATAGCATGTTGGTTTCATCACTTGTTCATGCAAGGATTTTATTGTGGAGGGAGAACACTGTCTGGGAACTTATGCTTTTCAGCAAACTGAGATAAATTTTGGGAAAGAATTCTGTGATATCTTCACTTAAAGATTCTACAGAATTAGAATCAATTAAAAGTAGTGACAAAGCAAAGGGTAAAAGGAATAAACAGGAGTAAAAAGAGATACAGATACAGACTTCTAATACTACGTCTTTTACCTATTAACACTGTAAACACTAAGCATAATGGAAATTATAGAAGTATCAAGAGGAAAAGTTTGCCAATAAACAGACTTTTTCATTAGGAAAAGCAAAACATCTAAAATAGCTAATATTTAGACTCAGAAAAATCGTTGAGGAATACTTAAGACTAAGCAAAGCTTTAGAAAATAGACCATAAAAAATCTTTGCCAGATAAATTGACGAAGTTATCTAATGTTGTTTACAGCCATATTGGGATGGATGAGGAAGGCACAGAAGTGTGACTGGAATACATTCTTCCACTAAATAAAAACAGATTTGTGTCGGCTAGAATAAACTATTTTTGTATCATATCTGGGATAGAAAAAGAAGTGACATCCAAGAATAAAAGAGAAAAGACATACGTAGGACATCCAGCTGAGCAGTGATCTGAGGCAAAGAAGCATATTCAGGAGTTTGTTTTTGCTATATTAAAAGCCTGTTTTGAAAACAACTTCAAATTATTTCATTTGATCTTTTGAGGAATGTAAGCAACACCAGCAGGTTTTCCAATCAATTTATATTGGCTTCTTTTCTCTCTAGCATTTTTTTCAAAATTCAACATACGGATATTTATAGCTGAAGTACAGAAATGCCTTCAGTTATATTAGCTCTAACAAAACAGTTGTTATAGAGGTTTATTCATTTCAGCACTGTCTATTCAATGATGTTTTATTTAACAGCAGAAAGTCTGAGAATGCATAGCAATAATGAAATCATAATGTTTTCTTTTGAGACTGGGTTTTCCTCATTTAAGAGAGGACGATTTTATTTTTGTAAAGGCAAGTTGATTTAACCATCTGATAACCTTTAAATAAATTAGAACAAAGTCTATCATCCAATTACAAAATTACAAATGCATCAAGTAGACACATTATTCTGTAAGACAGACAAGATATAATTAGATGTTCACCAAACAAGAAAGAGGTAACAGAACGACTGCCTTTCAAAAAACAAGAAAATAAGAAATCAGAACATTTTTGGGAAGCCTACTAAGGATTCTATTTAAGTAATAAAAGTATGAAAGATGCCCTATTAAATAGACCAAAGCATCTCGTTTGAATATGATATCCCTTTAATATCTATCTAATAATGCATTTAACTTTAAGCCAGGTTTCTGATCCATATCTCTTTAGATGAACAAGCAAACACCATGTAACATATAGCCACATAAATGTATGTTTCTTAGAGAGGTATTGAGGGATATGGAATAGATATCCACTTCAGATTAAGCAACAATTCCCTACATTTTTAACTTAGAGAGCAATATCTCAATATGAGAATTGATCAATTACTTAAATGTTGGTAAGGTTAAAGATTCAGAATCTGCTCAGAAAATAAAAATAAGCCAGAGCATGAGAATAAGACTTTAGGAAAATCTTATAAGAAAAATAATCTCATCAGAGAAGCCAACCATCACACTGAGAAGGATAGTGTGTGTCTTCTAAAGTGGAATTGACAGCTTGTAAAGACTTCTCAGAAACAAATTTTTGCTATCTAAGTTAAGGTTGCAGAATCACAGCAGAAACTATTACTTTGTCATGGATTTCCACAATACATTTTTTTTTTTCAGAAGTTTTTGTTTAGGCTAAACCATAAACCTTAAATAGTAGAGCAAAAGTAGTAGAAAACAAAAAGCAAGCCAAATTTTTTATCCACCCTTTTGTGATTTTAAAACTCTTAAAGCAAATGTATAGGTACTCCTACAGCTAGGATAATGCTTTCTAATATTTAGTAGATTTTCTTACAATCTTACAGGTACTAGTCTCTAAACTAGGGTACAGAGAATGTACAGTGGCTTTATTACAGCATTTTTAACGTGTGCACTATGTGTCCTAGCCTGTAGCTCATTATTACAGTATTTCTATTGCTAGAAATGGGCCACAGGATCTGTACTGAGTTTATGAGGCCTCAGCACTATGGCTTGTCAAGCTTACTTTGTATGACTTTTTCTTGGTCTGCCTGCAACTTTGCTTTGACCTAGTTTACCTGTAACAGTATTTTTCCCTCATAACTGGATTTTAATTTGTTTTAATATGGCTTGTCTTCCTATGGTATAACCAGTTTCATGTATAATTGTAAAAAGCAGTTGTTCTCTATAAAATGAGATATTTGAGAGCCTTATGCAATGAAGCAATGTAGAGAATTACAAGGCTGGTGTGTTGGTGGAACCCTTGAGAATAGGAAGCGAAGCAAGCAGTACAGAGGAATTGTGGTGTGGAATAAGAGCAGAGTCACAGCCTGGCACCAGAGATCCCATGGCTATGAACAGCTCATCAACAGCTGGTTAAAGAAATGCAGACCTGAACAAAATTGGGGTATGAGAATATGACAAGTGCATCATATGTAGTACATATGAATGTACTGTGGACTTGCACAGCAATGAAGAGAAACAATGTGTGAAAGACCATTAAAAAAAGAAACAAATACCCCAGCAAATCCTAAAATGAAGAAGAAAGCAAGAATTTCATCATATTCTTCCCTGTGAAATAGTTTGGGTGCTGGTGATTTTTACATAGTACCATGACAGGTAGAAGGATCCCAAAGGAGAGTGAAAGGTTCAACAAAACCATTAGCAGCTAGGAAATGTGTGACACACGTCTAACTGTACTGTTATTGAGGGTTGTTTTGCTTTTTTTAATTTGGTTTGGGGCTTTTTTTGAAATGGTGGTATCCTTTCTTTATGCTGTTTATTTTCTTAATTTTCTGTTATAATTAGATGTTGGCTGGCCTGCTGATTAAACTTTTAAGTTATATTAATAATGAAGTCCTGGCTTTATGTACAAACATTGTTTATTTTTTTACCTATCATGTTTTTAAGCAGAACTATGGATACCTTGATGGTATAATTCCATTATATTTTCTATGTTGTTTTTGAGTTCCTGTGGAGTCCATATATTAAGGAAAACTCTCAAAATAGTAAAGCAGCTTCTTGTGTTCTATTAACATGCCTCTAGGCAAATTTACTGGTTTTCAGCAGCATATTGTGAAATAAAAAAATGCCTAGCTTTTACCCAGTGCTTATCTCCAGTTTAGTACAGGATGTATCATTTTTCCCATTATAAAGAAGAATCAACAAGTATGCAGGTTCAGGATCATTAGCATTTTAGTGTCAGAATTTGCCTTTCCAGTGCACTAGATGACACTGAAGATTAGAAATTTATCCGTGGACCTACAGAAGAAATCATAACTGACCTAGAGGTCCTTCTACAACAAGTATTCTAATCTGACAGTGGTTTTTTAAGTTTTTTGCTAAAAAGATATACTTCAGAATTCATTTAAAAATGTGAAACTCGTAGAATAAGTCCCTTTGAAGAAAACTGTAACAGGATCCAGATTATTCCTGTCCTTTTAAATTCCCATGCAATTTACATTTTGTTAATCTTTTTTAACAAGAAACGGATCCAAATACTCTTTAAGGATGTTGATACTCTATTAAAAATATTAATATAAATTCTTATATAATATGCAAAACTAGAGCCTTTAGCATAGGCCTTGAATTTGCCATAAGTTATAAAATCTTTCGCTTTTGTCAGTTTAATTTACGTTTCTAACAGTCACCATCAGAGGAGTGAAAGGATCTGCCCTGATTTGTCTCTTCCCTCTTGTCCAGCTGCCCTGAAAAAAACCTACACATGGAAAAATGGTATATACTTCATGTGATTGGCTCCAGTCAGGGTAGTCAATCAGGAAAAACAAAAGGAAAAAACCTGCAAGCAAATCCAACAGAGCATTACCAAAGACCTGTCAGGGTGGGGAGCAGTTAAAACATCAGAGTATTTAGCATGGCTAAAAGATCTTTCTGCAGGATGACTTCTGAAACACAATTTTTGAATAATTATGAGAAATATCCTGATCAAAAAGTTTTGAAGGTCACAGTGTTCATTAGAAAATAGAGCTGCATTTCACAGCAAGCAGTAAATTTTACCTTGAGGAAATTCATACTGTTTCAGTCATATCAAACTCTGCTCTAAACTAATGCTGTTTGTCTTTTACTCATAATTTTGTTATTTGCTATGGTTATTTCACTTATCCTTTATCAGCTATTTAAATCTAAATTTAAATAAGTTAATGTCATTTTTTAGAATTAATGCAAAGAAAGGATTAATTGGACAGCAAATTTCTTTACTACTTCAAATTAACATCAGTCTTTCAAACATTTTTAAATTCCACCCCGCCCCGCCCCCCCGCCCCGATCCAACTGTTTGCTGGATTATTAAGGCTTGAGGTGGAGGAATGTCTGTGATATTTTAATTGACAAGAACGCAGCTTTCCAAATTCATTGCCACATAGGAGACACTAGTTTCTTTGGGAAAGAAAATGGGAAAAGAAAATTCAGATTTTTAATGGAAAATTTATGAAACAAAGAACTTTTCTCAACCCAGGCAAAGATTTTCTAATGGTGTACTAATTTAGTCACTTAAAATAAGCAGAAACCCTAATTGAATCCCACAAATAAAGAAAAAATAGAAGAAATTTTTGCATCTCTATATTTGCCACAATTGTTTGGTACCCTGGGTCTGAACAGAACTCTTATATTTTGGCCCATATTTATTTAAAAGTAATTTTTGTTTAGAGGATTTCTGTCTTTCAAATCTATCTGTCTGTCTCCACCCTTGCTCCAAATACTAAAAGACCTTCGATGTTCAGAGTAGTCTGTTAGTGGAACTTGATAAACTAGGTGAAACTTCTCTACTTACATCAGTTCATTTACTATTACTGCAAAGTAAAACACTAAAACAATATTAGCCAGCAAATTTCAAAGTTTTCCTGTAATAGCACACTGGCTGCATGGCTCATCTCAGAAAGATCTTTTTCAAACAGTTAGATTAATGACTTGAGGAGGATGAGTGGCAATGAAAACTCCCTTTGAGCTGCTACACACAAATGTATTTGCTCATGTACAACAGAAGTGATCATTTGGGGCATTCCACAAAAATCCTGTAAAAAAATCAGGTTCTTCATGAAGCAGATGAAGAGTTCATTAAAAGATAACTCCTATGACACGGAAAAACTGTCAAATACAGGGAAAGAAATACAGACCACAGAGAAAAAAAGTACATAGAAAGTCAACAGTATATGCTAATGATGTAGAAATATCTGAATTTTTCCCTTCTTGTTCATACTGGGTTTCAGTTTCATACTGCCTTCTCTCACATTCTCCTCTGTCTGCACTTTAGTTAGTGACCACACAGAACAGTCCTGCTGGAAACTGATTCCTCACATGTGCTTTGTGCTGTCCAAAGAGTATTCCAAAAGGTGCACACTATCTGTTTCCAGGAGCTGTGATAATCTTCTCTGTAATTTTCAAGTTTTTTGTGCATATGCTGTCAAAGCACATAAATTGTTGAAAAACATGCTTTTACTAATACTGACATTACAGTTTTTTAAAAAAAAAATCACGCTACTCTACCTCTTTACTCTCTTGAACAAGCTAAGGTGGAACAGTATTGATGCAAAAATCCAGAGCAAAAGGTCAATAATGGACTCAGCATAGCTCAATCCATAACTGTACTACAGATATGCATTCCATATACCTATATATTTATATACGTGAGTATTTGAATATACATAAACATAAAAATGTATAAATATAGTGTTTGTGCATATGTTTATGTGTGTGTGTGTTTTGTGTATGTGTAAAATGGTGGTGTAAATGTATGTGTAAAATGATGAGAAACCAATAGTGCAGGGACAGCTACAAGTAAATTACTATTAGAGAAGCCCAAAGATACAAAAAATCAGAAAAGAGCTTAGTTTTTCTTGAATGAATCTTACATGTAAACACCAATAAGTCAGATAACCATATGAGGCATCAAGCAGCAATCTGTCCTCTAAACCAATCATGCTAGAGAAGGTTAATGCAACGTAAAGGAAATGAGGCAAAAGCAACAGAAATTGTGAGATAGGTGCCTCTGGATTTTTCATAATCTGGATATAAACTGAATTGATATCACAGTAGATGTGATTTCATGACAAATTGTTTGCTGTATTGGCAGCATTTCTGTAGCTTAGCTTTGCTGAATAATCATCACAGTTTTCAGGTATAATAGTTTTGCAGAAACCTTTTCCTTGTGTTGTGACAAATAAGCAAGAGTACAAACTGCTTAGTTTCAGGTATTAAGAATTAATGTGACAAGAAATAAGGGAGAAAATTATTAGACATCTGAACTGAAAGCAGTGCCTGATCTGATGGCTAACACAATGATCACATCTACTGTGGGTTGGAATCTTGCCTGCAAGAACCTTACTAATATTTCATTGATAAAAGGAGTCATCAAAAAAGTGACCTTTCAAAGCTGCCTTGTTGCACACTCCTTCTTGGACATTGTGGTGTAGCTGGCACTCCAGAACTTACAGGAAAGAGTAAAGAAAGATGCAAAAAACAAACTAAAACCCAGATCCTTCCTTGATTTTATGGGCACAGGTATTACCTTTTGACACAAGCCCTCCAAGAGCATGAACCTCAGTGAAGGCACCTTAGTAGGGTTCTGGAGAAACCAGATGTCCTATATAATAATGCAGAACACCTGTAATTTGCTGCACCCCTCATAATATGATTCAGCTCTACTTCTGCCAGCATCTGTAGTCATCAAAGAGAAATGCCATGACTGCATGTACTTTCCTTCTGTTCTGGCCACCTTGTTTCTTGAGGGAGAGCTCTGTGAAGTAGCTGCATTTCCTCCTCAATCTCTACAGATAGGAAACTGATACTTTAAGGAAGAAGAAGCCTTTGTTCCCTTCTCTTTGTGCAGCTGCTAATAGTAATCTGTAAAACTGAACCTATGAACCCAAAGTTCCTGTGACCACAAACCTGAGTTTACTCATTGTTACTCAGTGTTTCTAGCTTAAATTCTCAGCAAGACTATTGTAACTAATGTTGAAAAACTATTAATTCAACTGAAAGTTGTTATCAAAATTATTTAATTTTGTTAACTCAGTATTCTTGAATTTTGCCTTCTTCTATAAAGAATACACAGTCCTACTGCTGTAATTACACCAGAAAATAGTTGAAATTTGTTCTTCAAATTTGCTTAATTTTTGTAAAGTTAAACTACAAAAATGAAAGCCAAAACAAAATAAGAAAGTTCTAGACATATACTTGCTACTTGCTTCTCATGAAAGCAAGTATTGCACATAAACTATTCCTCAAACTCTTCATAGCTGATAAAATAAATTTTTGCATGCAAAGACCTCAAATAAACATCGTGACCAATTTAAAAAAAAAACATTGGCTTCAAAACTAACCTTCAAGAATGATGTAAGTAAAAAGCTGTCCAATCAAATTTCTTGTGAACTGGAAATGGAATGTATCCTCCAAGGGACAGGAGATACGACAATCTTCAATACTTTTATGAGCCCTTTATTTAATTGCCAAAAGTACTTAACTGTATACTATTAAAATAACTGCAATAATGTGGAATATTTCCCTTTACTCAGGTTTCTACTTCTTTATTTTTCTATGCATGCCTTGCTTCTGCAGTCCTCACTTACAAACCCATGCTAATGCCCTGCATTGTTCACACAGCATATACTGCAGAATTTGACTTCACATCAATTCTCAATTTTTCTTAATATGTTTCCTAAGTGGGGAGAAGTTCCTAACATTTGCATTGTAAGTCAGATCAATGAATTATCTATTGGTTCCTGACCTGTGAATGCCCAAAGCAATTTGTGAAGATATATGAGGTCAGGATTATAAAACCCTCATTTAAATTGTTTGACTTCCTAGTTAAACCAAAATTCTCTCTTCTTTTCTTTCTTCTTTTCTCTTTCTCAGTAGTCATACATGCATTTTTCAGTCACAATTTAGCCATAATATGAGGTTGTAATCAAAAAAAAGTATATGTTTATGTGAAAAAAGAATGCTTTTGCTATGCTCACCAGCCCATTTGTGGCTATAAATGTCCTTATCTTCCATGGCTTCATACAGGCCAGTGTTGCTCAGAACACTCTTAGCTCCCCCCTCATTTTCTGTGCAGTCTTTTTCACAGATTTCCCAGCTTTTCATAAGAGAAATGTAGGCCTACTCCCTTATTCAGTTGATGTATTTCATTTGGGGATACATGGTTTGACATGTGATGTGCCATATTGCATGTTTTTAATAATCCTTCTGTTACATATTATTATGATTTATAGCTGAAGGCAGTGGGGTCAGGATTTCACCATAAAAATGTGCTAATTTGTTTCAGGAATGGAAATTATTGGTAAAAGCTTCACCAAGTCTCTCTCCGTGTAATGGAAGTATTTTAGCAATTTTTAGTTTCAGCCTTTGTTGACAGTGGCATTTCAGGTAGTATATTTGTTACCTACTTTAACGGTGGAATGCAGTTGCTCCATGTGGTACCATAACTCTTCTTCAATGGAAGAACTCTTTTTAAAGTGGAATATTAAAAATTTTGACTGAACAATAATGAAAAATACTCCTCCATGTGCTTTCTTTGAGAGATCTTTGTAGGTAAACCCTCTGCACACAAGAAATTTATACACAATTGCACATGTATGAAAAATTCCAGATAACTGAGCTTAGAAGTACTAAAAATAAAGTTTTATCTTTGCTACAATAAATAATTTTTGGTTATTAAAAGATTACCTGATGAAGTCAGTGGCTGTAAACTCCTTTTTTTTGACAGAAAAGTATTATCAATTGAAAATTATGATTCCCTCATTATCAGAAATGCATAACTGATGGCAGGTGTTTATGATTCTCATTATCTCTATTTTTCATCCTCCTGTGGTAAGGCAAGTAGGTTTAGTTACCAGGGTGTAATGTGCTTCAGCAGAAACATCAAATGAGGGGAGGCATATTACAGGGGAAAAGAGGCAGGGCTGGGTGTGGATATATTGCACACCAGCCCTCGGTAGTTTTACATGATACTTGGGGTTAAGAAAGAAAGATAATTTCTTGAGGAACTGTGACCCTCAGCAATATTAAACTTCTAAGCTTTGACATAACAAAGCACTCAGCATCTCACTTTCTAGTAAAGCAAAAAATTAGTTCTTGTATATGGAAGTAGAAGAGGGGTAATTTCCATTTCTAAGTAGCTAAACCATCTCTTTATAGATAGTATATATTACCATATATGTTATGTAAAAGATTTGCTTTATACAAAAATTTATTAAGGCTTATGTATGAATGTTGTGCACTCTGAAAATTCAAGAACAATTTTGAAGGGAGAATTGGAAAATAAGTCATATTTCATGTCAAGGAAACAGATTAAATAGATAAAAATAGTTAAAAAACAGATTCATGATTGTCATGTCATAAATGTCAAAAGCATTTATCAAATGGCTATAATGAGTCACAGCTTCCACGTATATATATTTGTTATTGACATGTGTAGCTCCTTAAGTGTACCTATTAATTGCAAACTCTGGAGTACAGTCTGTTCTCATTGTACATTGCTTTTCTATATGCATATTAGAAAGAGACAACTTTTTAAAGATAAGATTAAATCTGAGAAACTGAGGTAAAAAATTATTTAACTCTTTGCGAGACAAATAATATTTGTCTTTTAGAAACTGAAGAGAGGATTGAACAGAAGTTTCAGTAGAACATCTGAAAATATCTTCGTGAATGAAACTACAAAAGATGGATATTTTTTGTCCCTTTCAGATACCCATATTCTTATTTTAATTACTTGCTAATATAAATACAGCAAAGTTGTTGTATTTTTTAAATAACTCTTTACTGAATATGTCAACAAGATAATATATAGTGTATAGTGAGGTTTTGAAGTTAACAATGCGTGCAACATGGCAGATTGCAGAAAACAGGTAACGCAGACTTCAAACCATCTATTTTTCCATGTTAAACATAGAAAGTATACCAAACACAGAACAGAATCAAGTGTGCATATCTCAGTTTAAATCAATTTTATGAAAGATCATCTTCAGATATTTGGGATCAACTCGTGATAGCAATTTGTTTAGTAGCTTATCTGTTTCTGAGAGGATCAGAATTCAGCTCTCATGAGGCACATTTCCACATAGCCCCAGTGTAATAAAAGGTTGCCAAATCTCTTCTGTGCTAGTTTTCCTTATGGACTACTAGCCAGCATCCTTTTAAAGAGCAAAACATTCTCTTCTGTACAAAAGTTTAATGCCAAATGCTTCAATATTGCCTGTAGTATCATCTGGGATACAGAGTGCCCTGTTCAATAGAGTTCAGGGAAAGAGTGATCATCAGCTTCCTAGGATTATCTCTGTGTTTAGAAGAGAGCATTAGGCAGGATTTGATGAGGTTCAGAGCCAGTAACTTTTGGTTTTGGCACTCACTTTTTTTTTGTTTTTCCACTGAGCTGTAAAGATAAGTCATGTGTAAAACCATTATTCTCATGTTCAAAAGGAAAAAAAAACCTTTAATATCTCCATGTTAAATTTAAGGTGAAGAAGTACTATAAATGTAGAATTCAATGGGAATTAACCACTTTACTGTCAAAAGCTGAGACTGAATTTTCACTTCAATGCCATTAATAAAGTGCCTTATGTAGATCCTTAAAACAATAATATCAATATGCATAAAGTTTTTCTGTTTGCAAAATTGAAATTAATAAATTTTTCAGAGGGAGAAACTTGTTTTCATGGAAAAAAGAAAATTATTCAGAGAAAAATATAGTTGAACAACTCTAGTAGCAAATATCATGCTACTTCATTTTTCATTTTTCAATTTTTTTAATTTTTACATGATATTCACTGTAGTCCTTTACTGGGTTACATGGAAAACTGCTAGTATCTATTCAGTAGATTATTCCCTAAATATTCTTATAAAGAAATTCACTAATAATGTTCTAATAGGAACCTGTTAACACAAAGTACATGCATTAATCAGGTGTTTGTTTCTGCCAGCAAGCCACATGCAAGTAGCACTTATTATAGTGACAGAATCCATGAAAATAAGGACCTGTTTGTAAATATATATGTCTTCAGAAGGAAGCCAAGTACTGGGAACAGCAGTGTCGTGATATTTCTTTTACACAATTTCACTTAAATGCTTATTTTATTCTACTCACCAATCTTTCTGCACATCTATGTCAACTATTAGCAGTATACAATGGAAGATGGGTGAGATTTTGTCTGAAAAAAAAAATATCCCCAGATCTAATGAACTCAGGACTTAAAAATGAACATTTTGAGTGAGTTGTACATGTACATATTTGGCACTTCTGCTCAATAGCCTTTAGTTACTATATGTGGTCGGATATTTGTCCTAAGTGAAAATCACCCAAGTTTTACATAGCCCCAGGAAAAAGCTACTAGTCTTAAACTTTATATTGCCAAAAGATTATTGTCCATTTTTAACTCTGACTTTTTCTACATACTTTACCTAGTGAAATTTCCTCACTGCTTATCCAAATGGGAACCGAAATTATACCTCAGATGTTTGTGTGGCTGACACTTTGAGATATCCCAAATTCTGTAGTAGGTTAAAATACATTTAAGTCTTTAGGAACAATTAAATAGGGAGAAACATTCTTCATATTACAGATATGACTCTTCAGTTGACTACAACTCTGAATTTTTTTAGATAATATTCCCAGCTCTATCCACAGATTTTGGTATAAGGCATTAGCTATGTTTTTTCAGAAGCCCTTCTGTAGTAAAGAAAATTTTGCCAGTATCACATACAATTTGATTTTTTTTTTTTTCATACTGAAGAGAAGCATAAAGTATGCTATCTTTAAATATCATTATGATTTTTGATCTAGGTAAGTGAGTCATAGTCTACATATATATATATACACATACATATATATGTTTCATCATTCAAGATCAAAATGAACAGTTTGTAAATGTCTTCTGTTTTCCCCCTATTCTATAAGTAACCAAATTTCTTGTCATGAGGTTGGGCTTGTGGATGATTCACCTGCAGTACAGGCCAAACTCCCTGAATAAGTCAATTGCTACAAATAAGGTGCCTAAGGTATACAGAGGTCTAGAACAGAAGATTCCTCCTGCATCAGTAAATACTAGTAAGTTTGTACCTTCAAAGGAGGCCTTTTGAAACCAAGTGTACAACCAGTTATTTCGTTGAAACGAGATACTATGTCCACACCCAATGGGAATCACTGGCTCTGCTTAACTTCAAGCAAACTCCAGCATTCAACAGAAGTATACAGAAGCACAACTGTTTGCTGCTTGTCTTTTGAGCTGTGGCATCTAAAATATGTTAAAACAAAACAAACAAAAACCCCAAAAAACCACTAAACCAAAAACCAAAGCCCAAAAGTATAAACCTTATCATCAGTAAATAGATGACAGAAAAAACCCATCCACTTTGCATAGACATTTCTACCTAGAATTATGCTATTTGAAATCATATGGTAAACTTTTAATCAGCAAAATTTTAGTGACTTAACTATTACAGTAGCCAGACAAGTTGCTTAGAATACCCACTACAGCTGGAGAAAATAGCTAATATATAGAATATAGACTGGAATTTTAAAGTGTGATTTTAAAAGGTGCTGGTGGAAGTGGTTCCTTACAAAATCGTCATACTTTGCCATCAATCATAACTGGGTTCATTTTGTCATTGCAGAAAATTAGTGTTATCATGTGATCTGAATTACAGAAAATACATGCTCATAGACTGCTGAGTTTCAAGAATGGGTTGAGTGAAATGAGCAAAGGATAGGATTAAAATCCTTTCTTCCAGCATAAGGAGCTCCACAAAGTGAAAAGTCTAAGCATTTCATTGTGAAAGTGCTTCAGCTTTTACTTCCAATCCATATGCAGCAAATTTTTGTCTATCCCTAGGTGACCACTGTAAAACTTTCTCTCTTTCCCTACTACCTCAGGGAAGCTTTGTCTCTATATTGTTTTCTTTTGTTTTTGGTTTTTTTTTTTTTCCCAATGTGATGTAGCTTTAGCTTGTCCCCAGGAGAAAATTAGCTACATTAAAAAAGCAAACTGAAAAAACCCCAAACATAAAAAAGCAAACTGAAAAAACCCCAAATAATTAGATTCCACCACAGTTCTTGGCAGTCACTGAGTTAGCAGAGTGGTTGAAATATTACATAATTTTGAGAGCTGCATTATGGTTTTAATACAAGCATGATATTTTGTATAATGCATATGAAGCTCAAGGACTGAGATGAATCTGAGGGCATAGCAAAGCAAATTCCAAACCCAGCTACTGCTTGTGAGGCCGAAATAATTATGGAAAACTCAAAAATGCTTAATGTAAAAGAAAGGTAATTCAGAGTGACACCGTGTACCTGTGCTCTCAAAATTCCCCAGTCAATCGAATGCTTAGCTAAGGTCATTCTCTGTATACTTTAATTGGGAAGGAAAAAAAACAAAACAAACAAAACCCACATAGATTTGTACATAATTTCCCCCATTTCAGTTTATAATGGCCCTCAAGGTCTTCCCAGTACTAAGTAATTTTTTAGAATATATTTCTTGTTTGTCTTGTCTTTTTGTCATTTTTTCCCCTATTTCTCCATATTGAACATAACTCAGGCCCTTAAGTCAAACAAGGTTTGAACCACACAAATTATTAGCAAAACCTTTCCATTGCCATTATATTTTGCACCATGTTTTCAGCAATATGCACTTTTAGATTTCAAATCACATGAACACATACATGAATACTGCAGAGCTGGAAGCACTCAGAATTTCCCTCATTCTGGCTTTATGTGAACATGCTTTGTCAACAAATGCTGCTCTATTAACAGGTGCAATTTAATGACAACTCTCTGTTACATACTGGTACATAACCTTCACCTCCCACTGAGAAGGGTCAGAGAATGCCTAAAGCTTCTTAATCCTGATGAAAAGCACAAACAGTTTCTGAGATAAAGTATATAGTACTGGGGACATTTTTTGAGCAACTCTTGCAAATAGGAATCAAGGTCACTTTGAGTTTGACACTGAGTTCTTTCCATGTTTCCTATTCCAAGCAGATTGAAAGAAAACTAATCAAACAAGAGACTAGCTTTTTTGGCAGCGCTCAGAACTCCAGCTTTCAGTTGGAGGTGAGAAGTGCAGACCTGACAAAGAGGAAGGGATGTATTTCCAATTGTTTGAAGCTCAACAGCAGTTGCTGGGTTCAAGTCAGAAGAGCTGTGCCCATTTTATCTGAATTGCTTTTGTCTGTTCCTAGTGACCCTGTTTTAATATGCACTTATTTTCCTGTATTCCAGGACACCTAGAAACTTAACATACCTCAGACTGCTTCGACAGCAAAGTGGTTAATATTTGAAGAATGAGTCATTCTTTCCTTTGCCATGACATCGGGTTCTTATTGTACAACCCTGTACAGTACTCAGCAATATTTTTTAAAGATTTAAAAAGCAAAGAGTTACAAAACCATTTGCAATTAACTTGAAATAGAAAAGATAGCACTTTTTTTTTTTAAATCCCATTATATAGTACACCGTATAAATTACAGAGTATTCAAATGCATAAATGCATCTGTGTAACATTTATCAAATGTAATTTTTTTTCATTATTGTTAGGGGGCTTATTTTTTCTAGAGTTTTTTCTCCTTGTCCTAGAGACCCCCATGTCCCTCACTATCACGTATGACAGTGCTCCAGGTCTGAGACGTTGCTGTTGCAGTATCGCATGTTGTTTGGGATGTGGCAGTCTGTGTAGTTAATGCCCCCGTTTGGGGTATAAATGGGCTGCAGTCTGAAATCTCCTTTAAGGAGCTGATCATTATTTAAGGAGACAATCTGGAAGCTGGTTTCCGTCATCTCCAGGATGGAGTTGTCCTTCTTGGTCCCTGCCTCACAGTAGTCATCTTTCCGACGGCCCCGGTTATATTTCCACTTCTGGGAGGTGTAACGACCTTTTTTGTGCATGTGCCAGCAAAAAATGCTGAGCAAGACCACGAGGACAAATATCACTGCACCCCCAATCAACCCTGCCAGCAGAAAAGGGGAGCCTAGGTTCTGAGAAGTTGTCTGCTCATGGCTGGAAGGGATGTTGCTGCCATTGAAAAAGGAAGCCTTAGTTGTGGCTTCTGAACAGACAGTGTCTTCTCCAGTTCGGTAGTTGTTATAAGTATCCAGTGGAACCAAACAAATCCTGTAAGTGGATTTGGGCTCCAGATTTACCAAGCTTGATTGCTGCTTCTCACCACTAATTATTCGTTCATGAACAATTCCTCCTACCAGACTATGGCCCATTTTAACCCATGTGAGTTTATATGCCATCACGGTAAAAAGTGACATCCAGTTGACTTGGATGCAAGTGTCATTCACAAAATGGATGGAGAGCTGAATCCATTCAGACAAAGGAGGTGTCACCCTTTCTCTGTCCTCCCTGTCAGGCACAGTGGGGAGTGTGGCTATGATGGGAGTGAGAGGATTGTATTTACTGCTTGAGGGAGGAAATGATGGGCTAGGACCTAATGTAGTCGGCATGGTTGTAGCTGGGACTGGGGTGATGATAAGTGGTAGACCAGGGGTGGTGGTGGGGCATGACAACATATTCATATTGAGCTCCCTGACTGCCATACCTCGGACCTGCTCTGGTCCTTGGCACATAAAACCGCGTACATTGATGGAAGCAGGAATAAATTTGAGCCATTCAGTGACCCACTTAATGCTGCAGTCACATAACCAGGGATTATTCCTTACAGTGAGTTGTCTCAGGTTATGGAGATTATCAAATACTCCCTTTGCCAACATCCGAAGTTGATTGTTGGAAATATCAAGACGTTCCAGTTTGCGGAGGTTTGAAAAGGCTGTAAGTGGTATGTGGGTTATCTGGTTGTCCTGCAAGTAAAGTCTTAGCAGATGTGTACCTGGAAGATCAGGAGGAGGGTAAGTCAGTGAATTCCGAACAATTGAGAATTCCTTGAGCTTGGAGAGGTGGCTAAAAGTGCCTTCAGCTATGCCTTTATTAGTGAGGAGATTGCCATCCACGATCAGACGCTCCAGACTCGTAAGGTTCTGGAAGGCCAGGTCTGAGATGACTGCAATTCGGTTTTCATCTACACGGAGTTCTTGTAAGTCCAGCGGAAGGCCTACTGGCACGCTGCTTAAGTGATTCTTGGACAAGAACAGAAGCTTGAGGCTGATGGCTTCCTGGAATGCTCCATCCTCAACACCAACAGTGGAGATGGAGTTGTCATCCAGGTGCAGTTCTTCCAGCTTCAAAAGCTGAGCAAGAGCAGCACGTGAAATGGTCTGAATGTTGTTTTCCTGCAGGTGGAGAACCCTGACATTCTTGGGCAGGTTCATGGGGAATTCATCCAATTGATTGCCGTACAGGTAGACTGTGTGCACAGACTGGACATTGTGCAACTCTGCAGGAAATCCAGCATTATTAATTTGGTTATTATGGAGGTAGAGGACGGTTACACCCTCCGGTATCCCAAGAGGCACTGAGGTCAAGCTTCGCTCATTACAGTAGACAAAGTTTCGGTCACAGCGGCAAACTTTCGGGCAGGCCAAAGTTTTGGAGACCTGTATGTAGAGCCCCAGGGAAAAGATAAGCCATGATTTCATGAGAAGAGCCCAGTCTGCGGGCCACATTTTAGTCCACAAACCCATTTCTAATTTAAAGAAATAAAGTAGCAAAGTGTTTAAGAACTGATAACAATAATAATGCACAGGTAACGAAATCTCAGGTCATTAAAATTGGCTTCTATTTATGTCCAGTGTTCAGGCCAGAGTTAAAGTCCTGGAGGCTAAGCATAAAATAATCCTTTTATAATTGGCCTACCTCCTACTTCTGATAAGGAAAACACAGTCAGTCTTATTAGCCAGGGTTACAATGTTTGTTGCCTTCTTCCATGTGCGCTGAAAGAGCCAGTAGCCATGTCTTTGCAAATGAACAACAGGTTACTTTAAATCTACCAAAAGTCTCTGTGCTTGGAGGCGTATTTCACTGAAGTCTGCTGGCTTCTGTCAGCTTTCCGAAGTCAGCAAAGTCCTCATATTCACTATCTGCCAGATCTGGTCTGCCTGTAAAAGGAAAGAGAAAAGAAAAAGCTGAATAGCATGAAATGTTTAATAGGGAAGATCAAGCCCATTAGAAGACTATTCTAAGCCTGAGCTCTTTATGGATTTTGGGGAGAAAAAAGGGAAAAAAAGGCATTAATATTAAACATTAGCTTAATATTACTGCTAAATAGTCTTGAAATAGATTTGATGCAAAGTCATTGCAAAGACTGAAGGACTTTCAGTGACTTCAGTGAAGGCTAGATCTATTACTTTCATTTGCATACTATACCTCCAGTCTTTGCCCTCTCACAGTCTGTTTAAAATTTTAGAACTAAAAACAACCTAAAAACCTAAACCGTTTAACTGGAAATTTTTGCTCAGGCAATTATTTTTCTTTTGCAGAACCACTGACTTCAATGACCACTATTCACTGATGCCTGACAGAGTAGACTCTGGGCTGTATTCTTTAATCACACTCTATGTTTTCTTCATTTTCTTACCAGACTCTGGAATATTCTGCTTCTGTTTCTGTAATACCATTACATATATTGTCCAAATTAATGCACACTGCCAGATTATTTTGCACTCTAGTGAATTAGCGACTTATGAGGAGAGTCTTTAAAACAAATATGGTAGTCCACGAAAGTAAGATACCCTGCTGTAAGACATGTACTTGCTAAAACTATCATCTTGATATTGGTTCTGATGTGAACTGTGCTGTCAATAGATTCCACAACTTGATTTCCACTAAATGAAACAAGCTCACATCTGCTAAGTTATTGTTTTAGGAGATCAGCTCAAACTATGGCAGTTTTGCAGAACACTTCCTTTGAAACCATAAAGGTTAGATATGGCTTTTAATTTTGCTACACAGTTATCTGTGAATGACTACATAAACAAGAGTGTTAACTTTAGTATAGCTGAATTCCTTAATGTGTATTTTCAGCTTGTAAGCATACTTTTTATTTTCCCAGCTACTATTTATTATTCAGATCTATAACCAAACATTCCCACTCTCTAAAGAATCCTATGAAAGGTACTGTGTTTGATGTTGTCTTGTTATATGTTGTTTCCAATGATTGTCATCCCCCCACCCCATATGCACAGTGGAACCTAATATCAACCTTGCCAAGTACAAAGCATGTACAGATATCAGGGTCTTCAATTGCAGTGACATAAGCACAGTAATTTTCCAGATATTGTTTATCCAGATCAAAGCTCAGGTTAGGATTTCAGGAAAATATAATTTTAGCGAACAAAAATCCTGTTTCTTAATGCTGGTTGCTTTTTTTTTTTTTTTCCTAATTTTTATCATGATATATATATTTATTTAAACAAATTAAGAACATCCAGGTCATTCAGAAAGAAAATTACTTTGTTGTACATAAAACCTTGTTCATCTGATACAGCTCTGCAGTTTATAACAACTCCCTGATGCTACTTTTGAGAATCCTGTGGACTGGTAGTGTAGAAAGAATCCTTAGGAGTCAAACTGATACAACCCTTCAACCTTGCACTTGCAGAGTACTGTATTCATTCAGAGCATCATCAGGTATCAGCCTCAAGGTTCAAACAGTTGGAGATAAAAGGTGAGACCCTGAAAATCCTGTTTATCAGTATGAATTCAAATTTTAAAGATATGTAAATGTAATACTGTATTACAGCCTATAATGTATTGTCCTTTTATATAAACAGTAAGATTAGGTACCCCACTGTTCATGGTTTTCTATTTCACAGGCATATTTCAGTCAAGACTGGTTTCTTTTCAATTATGTCAGATGACGTGATGCTGTAGAGAAACTCTTAACAGGATTACATTCTAACATGAGCCTGAGTGTGACAGTTTATCCGCCTTTAATATGGCCTGGCTCCCATCTAGATCATAGTGCTCTGATCTGTCATGACACTTTATTTCAAAATGAGAATGGATATGCAGAGCATCCTCTGAGATGTTTGGGACCACAGAGAGTAATCATAGTTGTTCTCTCACTTTCCCGTCATCATCGGAGAGAGACAGCCTGTACCTCCTAACAGATCCAGTGCCCTGCACTCAGCCCACTTCTGATTCTAAGTCCAGTCACTGATTAAGCTTTATTTCGCCCCCAGGTACAATAGAAAGCCCAGCTGAGAACATGCAGCCACAGGCAGCTGCAGTTCCTGGTTTGTTGGAAATCTCCTAAGAAGGGACTGTCATATTAAAAATTTGGCTTAGTAGTTCCTGCAATCAATGGAAATATTTGTTTTCATAACTTAGAATGCATTTCTGATCAACATTTTTATCTCACTGTATTTTTTCAAATCTGCCTTGTCTAAATTATCTTTTGGCATAATTGATGCTAGCTGGAAAAGAAAAAATCTGGCTTTATGTACTGGATAAGATATAAGGTGTTTTCTTTAAAGATATTTTTAAGGTTGAAACATGTGGCTACAATTTGGAAAGGTGAAAGAATCTTCAAAACTGCCCTTACAATCATCTTTCCCATTTTTCATTCTGCAGTCTTACAAATATGCAGTCAAGGTCCCTGTGTCTACCTGAGAATGTAGTGATACTCAGGGAAGATAGCAGAGAATAAAGGGAAAAGATAACATATGGAACCAAGCTTGCATGGAACACTTGCAACCCTATGTTATAAGCACAGTTTTGAAGTGTTCCTAAAACCAGGTTGTCTGTCTTCATTAGCCTAGTTATGGTTTACATTGAGGCTATAAATTTTTCAGAGATAATAAAATTAAGACTACTTGGCTATTCTTTCCTTCAAGGAATACTGAAAATAATAAAAAATAGGTCAAAGGAATCCAAGGCCTTTTTTTCTCTGATAGTCTAACCAGTTAGCATCACTTTTCCCAGCAGTTCATCTGTTTATCTGGACCTGAGTGACATGCAACATAAATTGAAAGGCAAGCAAAACCAAAACCAAACAGTCATACTTACTCTCTTCACTATAACCAGTCAGTGACTCTTATTTAGCACTAAACCATTTGGCATAAATTTTCTTGGCTGTACTGCAGGCCAGGGTTATAATCATGCCATATAATCTTACTCTACGTAATTATAATACACAGTAAGTACAAGGCTATTATGTCTGGAATTGAATGACAAACAGAAAACAAATCTAATTCCTTTCGTATTAAATGTAGCACAGAGTTCCTTGTTCTTAAGAAAAATATCCCTGTGTATCTATCAACTAGTAACAAGAAAAATTACAGAATAACACCTGACATATGCCTTTTTTCCATGCAAGTAAAATTCATATCTGTGAGTGCACACATTAATGAATATCCTGATGTTTTGGGGTTTTTTTGGTTTGTTTTTTTTTTTTTTTTAAGTCATTAGGAGCCTTGCGTGATAGTTTGCTGTATATATTTCTCTATGAGTTACTTGGGTTTGAACTTTGTGCTCATATTTTAATAAGAGTCTATAATCTCTGCATCAAAGGCACAGGGAAAATGACCCAAAGGAATCAAAATGCTTTTATAGGAAGCCCTTTCACATGCCTGCTGTTCTGGCTGCTTCATAGCTATGAGTGGGTATTATGTAAGAAGAAGAGGTAAGGAGGAAGAAAAAGAGCTGAAGAAAAAGAGAGAGGAAGAAAACATCCTTGGTGCCCTCTTCTAGAATGAGTATTGATGACAGGACAACGACAAGTAGCTAGTATAGGAAGGAAACCTTAGAGTGTCTCTGTACACTGTTACAGACAAATGAAGTCTATATGAACGGATTTTGGCAGAGAAGGGCATTACTGTCTTTGCAATATTGTTAGCAAAATGATTCAGCAAATGTACACATCTGAACTCTTGTGCTTTTTTCTACTCTGATCATAATGTTTCTGGTTTTACTCCTCAATTTGCATTTATAATTATTCTCAAAACCCCAGATCAGGCAGCCTGAGGATGCAAGTGAAATTTATTTGGATCTGTCTTGGAGACAGGAGAAAATTTAGAGTGTGGTACATCTTGCAACAGTGGATGTAAAGACATCATTTACTATCCTTCTCCTTCTGATTCTTCTGTAATCTTCTGGTCCTCCAAGCCTTTTTTCTCTTTCTAGCTACATTCCTGTAAATTATTATGTGGACGCATTGCCCAGAGGAATGCAGGCTTTAGGAAATCCCTTTTTAAAAGGAATGCTATTATAGAGAACAAGAGCTTTGTCTTTGGAAATTTGGGTAGTGTACAGAAAAAGGACTCTGTACGGTCAATAGGAGTTGATAGGACTCTGATGCAGCCCAATTCCTGACTGCCAGGAGAGGGAGCTAAGCCAGCAGAAAACTTTCTCTCCCCTGAATAAACAAATAAATAAATAACTGTAGGAATTGTTTTCTTCCCACTTTGTCTGTCCTCACACACATGCACACACTTCTTCCTCAAATTTGTCTGTGACTGCTGACTTGTTTGATGGCATTTTTATTACATACTTGACAAACTGAGTTGTACAGGACTTTGTTACTGGGAAAATTAATGTTTATGTATTTTTATAAAAGCACTATTCCCAGCTTCAGTGGTTCAAGACTTTTTTAGTCGTGAGTTACCACAGAGTGAAATTAATTCATAGGCATGAGGAGGCATGTAAGAGGGAGGGAGACAAAAGAGAACAAATAATGGAAAATACATAGGTTTTGGGGGGGAAAAAGCTCAGGTAGAACAGATTTTTTCCTTGCAGTAACAGGAACCAGTAACAGGGCAAGAGAGAGAACCTACTACGAGAAATAATCACTAGAGTGACTGCTGTACTCCAGGAAGCAGAGCTGAAATAGCTACAAGATCAATAGCATTAATGCCTCAGGTAGGGCCATGAATTCAAGGCTGCCAGCCATCCTGCCAGGCACTGCACTGCACGACACACCCTGCTCAGCTCCTCGCACTTCTCCATAAATGGGTTCTGAAGTGCCAAAGTTCAGGTGTGGAGACTGCCTAGACTAATGTTATCTTCATTCCTGTGTTTAACAGTTACTGAATTGTAATAGAAGGAAGTTATTCTGAAAATTTGACACTGCACAACTTCATCAAGACTATCTCATCTG